ACAAAAATGAAATAAAATCAAAAAGTGGCTATTTTGTAATATGTTTTAATATTAATAAAAAAACATGCTTAACGGCTATACACTACCAATAGGCCATTAATAAATATTGTTTTACTTTGTACTGGATTATAATGTATATTTTACAATAAAAACTAATAATATGTTTTACTGTTATGTAAAACAAGTAATTTATAACACATCAGAACTGTAGACCTGAAGTGCGTAAACTGTATACAGGGGGTGTTGGTTAAAAGCCTACAGCACATAATTGAACTAATATCTCAGAGGGAGATGAATGGATGATTGGATTTAAAAAAAAAAAAAATTAAGTCCCAATGCTAACTGTATTTTAGCTCTTAATGTAGGCCTTCAATATATTTTCTGGTGTTTCAATATATTTTCTACATATTTTTAAAAGATTGACATTCAGCCTACCTGCAGCGCATTTAAAAGGTGGAATCACGCCAAATCCACTTACTCACACACTATACCCATTTCATTTATAACAATGTAAACTTTACTTCACAGGCCGATCATCTTTAAACGCAAAAGGTATTTTTAAGTGTCCTAACTTGACTGCTGCTGCATAATGGGATGTTTCTTTACAAAACCGTAAAAGTGTTCTTTAGCATGTGAAAATGAAAGCAAACATTCAAAAGGGTTATGCAAATTGTCAATTTTACTAATATTATTAATTATGAATATAATAAATTTAAATAATAATTGCACTGTGCAGTGTACTAAACATTTTTATTAGGCTACATAACTGAAAAACCAATGTTAAGATTACTGGCAGTTGCGGTTTTGCTTAAATTAACGGCAAATTTCTTCTGCGTTTTTACCCTTTAGAGCTCAAAAGAGTTGTATTTAAAGAATTAGTTAACCAAAACATGTAACGAATTATGCTGCCCGCCTCATGTCATCTACTAGTTCAGTTTTCTCCCATGTGAGTTGAGTGCGCCGCTGTGTTTTATACGCTATTTACGAGCGCACCTGACCTGACACGGGGACCATATCTCTGGACTATAGGCCTAGCTTTAATCTCACAATTTTCATAATTTATTTGCTATTTCATATTATACCATATCTAAATGTAGCGTCAGGCCTGCGCTCGATACCAAGTAGTGGGGCTGTGTGTTTAGCGCCTTTAAGCCAGTGAGCCAGTGCGCAAAGCCGGTATAGATAAAAACCAAAAGCAAGTTCATATAATAAATATTTCTTTAACGATACTCATCAAAAATTCATCTAATCCTACCCCTCGAATAGAATTTTTAGTTGCACCATTAAGAATTCAGGGCACTCTAGAGCCCTGATATACTTTGTAATAAAATAACGTTCTTTACCGTTTTTTTTTTTTCCCTAAAAAACATTTTCAGAATATTTTGTTTATTAAGGAACACAATAAAAGAACCAAAAAAAATATCAATTCTGCTCGGAGTAAACCGATTGGATTATTTTTTTTTTTTTCAGTTTTTAAGCCCGGGTTCACATATTTTTGATTTTTTTAATCAATTTATTAAAATCTTTCATGAATTTAAGATGCATATGAATGTTAAACAGTATTGTGAAAAGAGTCCATATTGTATAGAAAAATATTAAAAATAAACTATTGTTGTTTTTCTCATTTCCAAAAATGTCAACGTTGGTTTAGTTCCTTGAAAAAAAAAAAAATATATATTACTGTAAATGCCTTTACTTTCTCTGATTAAGGACATACTGTAGAGCAGAGACTGCACATTGATTTCAGCAGTTCAGAGTACAAGAATTTTTTTTTTTTAAAGTTGCATTAGTTTGTTTATGAAGCACATCCGAACATATGCACACCTTGCTTAAATCAGTAATAATGCTGTTGTTTACAAGTCTGCTTATTGTGATTAAATTCTGTATACATTGGTGCCAGACGTGCAGGGTTAAGTATTTCAGAAACTGCTGATCTACTAGGTTTTTTACGCACAACCATCTCTAGGGTTTACAGAGAATGGTCCAAAAAGACAAAATATCCAGTGAGCGGCAGTTCTGTGGGCGCAAATGCCTCGTTGATGGCAGAGGTCAGAGGAGAATGGCCAGACTGGTTCCAGCTGTTAGAAAGGCAACAGTAACTTAAATAACCACTCGTTACAACCGAGGTCTGCAGTAGAGCACGTTTAACCTTGAAGCAGATGAGCTAAAGCAGCAGAAATCCACATAGGGTGCCACTCCTGTCAGCTAAGAACAGGAAACTGAGGCTACAATTCACACAGGCCAAAACTAGACAATAGAAGACTGGAGAAAAGTTGTCTGGTCTGATGTGTCTTGATTTCTGCTGGGACATTTGGATGGTAGGGTCAGAATTTGGCATCAACAACATGAAAGCATGGATCCATCCTGCCTTGTATCAGCGTTTCAGGCTGGTGGTGGTGTAAAAGTGTGGGGAATATTGCCACACTTTGGGCCCCCATTAGTATTAATTGAGCATCGTGTCAATGCCACAGCCTACCTGAGTATATGCTGACCATGTCCATCCCTTTATGACCACAGTGCACCCATCTTCTGATGGCTACTTCCAGCAGGATAACACACCATGTCATAAAGCATGAATCATCTCAGACTGATTTCTTAAACATGACAATGAGTTCACTGTTCTTAAATGGCCCCAACAGTCACCAGACCTCAATCCAATAGAGCACCTTTGGGATGTGGGTGGAACAGGAGATTGGTATCATGGATGTGCAGCCAAATGACAAATCTGCAGCAACTATGTGATGCTATCATGTCAATATGGAGTAAAATCTCTAAGGAATATTTCCAGTACCTTGTTGAATCTATGCCACAAGTAAAAGAGAGTTCTAAAGGCAAAATTGGGTGCAATAATCAGGTACTAGTGGTGGGTGACTGTATATCAAAAGGTTTATGTTTTCTGTGATTAATTAAACTGGCTTTAGATTAAGCTTATAAAGTATTTTGTTTGAATGAGGTAATGATTTATTAAAATACTTCCCAAATCTCATTATGGCACAGATGACGATGTTCATGGTAAGTACTTTATTAGTTTTACTATAATCTTCTACTAAGATGGACGGTTAGAACAATGAGGGACATCTGTTTGGTGTTTCTGCAAAATAATACTGAAACTGTACACAACAGGTCACACATTTTTCTAAACAATTAGATTTTTAATAAACTTCATTAGGTAAAAAGAAGTATTAAATATGGACTCAGAATCAGTATTTTAAATCATTTGTATTGGATCAGGATAATAATAATAAAACCTGACCAGGAAATAGTGCCAAAAGTGTGAGAGTAACTTGGAAAATTGACTCTCGTTAAGCAACACCGCCTCAAATTCACCACATTCAACAAAATATTTCAACACAGTTACTGTCAGATTTCAAACCACCTGCACTGAAATTTTTCCCCTTTTGCATAATCTACATGCATCTGTTTGTGTCTGAGAATTAACATGGTTTTGCGCAATAAAAGGTTACAGTCAGTAAGCAGTTTAGATTCACAGTAGGGTGCAAATACACTGCAAATCTGTTTGTGTAGTATGGGTTATTGCATATTTATTCAACAAGTACCCATTAAAATGATAATAATGATACAATTATATATATATATATATATATATATATATATATATATATATATATACACACACACACACACACACACACAGTTGAACACACACACACACAGTCACACAAAGTCTTTTGTTTTATTTCGGCTAGAATAAAAGAAGTTTACATTTTTAAAAAAATCCATTTTAAGGTCAATTTTTTTCCGATCAGTCTACAGAACAAACCATCATTATAAAATAACTTGCCTAATTACCCTAACCTGCCTAATTAACCTAGTTAAGACTTTAAATGGCCCTTAAAGCTGTACAGAAGCAAAAATATTATTTACTGTCATCATGGCAAAGGTAAAATACATCAGTTATTAGAAATTAGTTATTAAAACTATTATGTTTACAAATGTGTTGAACAAATCTTCTCTCTGTAAAACAGAAATTGGGTTGAAAAAACAGCTTTCTTTGCCCTTCTAGATGATTTTATTAATAAGTGATTTGAGTCATTGCAGAGATGTATGAATGCAGTCCTCTAAACTCATGGGAGTCAGACACAATATTCATTCTGTTTCCACTGCACCATGACTTTATATTCTATGCTGGACATTATTTCTGTTAAGTGACACGACTTTTGTCAGCAAGGTCAGACCTTAATGTCCTAATGAAATCATTGAAAAATCAAGGCATGATCATATTTTATTTTGGACAAATAAGCTGTCAGGGTTCTGCCACTCTGATCTTGTAAATTCTTGTTTTGGTGGCAGATCTCTGACACTACTCGTGTCTGGTCCTGTTTCTGTCTCTGTGTGCGCGCGCGCCGTCGTGGGTGTACGCAGAGTGTGCGCGCTCCTGCTTGACGCGGCCGCGTGCGCGCTCTGCGTCCCTCAGACGCGTGCGCTCTTGTATTCGTGTTTGTGTTTTCGTCTGTCAGCAGCATGGTGTTTCATTCCAAGCGTCTCAGTCTTGTTGGTTTCGGTTTTGGTCGGCGCTGGGATGAAGCATGCATGCTGCATATGTGAGCGCATGGTGAGTTTTCATTCATCGTGTGCTCGTGTCTTGCGTCTTTTGTCAAAGCACGTGGCTCGGTGTTTACATTGTGGTCACGTGCTTTTGTCGTGTGCTTCAGTGTTGTGTTATGTGAGCGCATGGCTTGTATTGTCTCTCTGTGTCATGCGCTCTCCCGTCTATTGTCTAGTCCCACCCTCCTTGTTAACCCATTATTAGTTTGTCATGTTCACCTGTGTGTCAATTTACTTTTTGCTTTATAACCCCCTCATGTTTTCAGTCCTTTGCGAGTTCGTCATCATATGTTGTCGATGTTTACCTGTCTTGCTGTGTCCAGTCCTGCCTTGTCGTGCCTGCCCAGTCAAGTTTGTTTGTTTGTTTGTTTGATTTATTGTTTGTTGTAGAAGTGTTTTCCCCCTCGGGGTTGTTTATTTTGCCTTTTATTTTATTTTTTAATTAATAAATCCTACTTCACTCTGCGCTTGGGTCCTTGCTCCTTTTTCCCTTTACCGGAACGTGACAGTACGAACTCGCCAAAGATGAGGACCCAGCAGAGTGAAGACAGCCCCTTCTCCAGCCGCATACTGCAGCTCATCAGTCTGCAGTCGCTGCGGCAACGTGGCATGAAGGTGGAAAGTTTTGCGGCTAAATTTTGTGTGGCAGCAGAGGGGCTGGGGTTTAATGATCAAGCCCTGGTGAACCTCCTTAACTATGCCCTCGACAAGCCCCTCAATATCCAGCAGATGCTGAAATTGGGAGGGCTATCTTACCATCAGTTTGTGGAGCATTTGGTTCATCAGGCTGCTTATGGCGAACATCCCAATCCCAGCTCTCTGTTGCCCTCTGCTCTGCAGCTAAAGGAGAGAGTGATCCTTCAAGAGAAGAGGATCCCTTACACCAGCGCCACCTCCCAACACATGTCCAGCCCGCAAGGGCTGACCCGCACTCAAAAGCGGAGGTTAAAGAGGAAGACCTCTGCTGCAGTGTCGGCTCCAGCCCCAGAGCGCCCTCCAGTGTCGGCTCCAGCCCCAGAGCGCCCTCCAGTGTCGGCTCCAGCCCCAGAGCGCCCTCCAGTGTCGGCTCCAGCCCCAGAGCGCCCTCCAGTGTCGGCTCCAGCCCCAGAGCGCCCTCCAGTGTCGGCTCCAGCCCCAGAGCGCCCTCCAGTGTCGGCTCCAGCCCCAGAGCGCAGCTCAGTGCCGGTCCCAGTCCGGCTCCTTGCCCTGCCGACACCACCCAGACGTCTTGCCCTGCCGGCGTCAACCAGACGTCTAGCCCTGCCGGCACCAGCCCGGCTTCTTGCCCTGCTGGCATCAACCAGACGTCTTGCCCAGCTGGCCCCAGCCCGGCTCCTTGCCCTGCCGGCTTCAGCCCAGCTCCTTGCCCTGCCGGCACCACCCAGACGTCAAGCCCTGCCGGCCCCAGCCCGGCTCCTTGCCCTGCCGGCACCACCCAGACGTCTTGCCCAGCCGGCTCCAGCCCGGCACCTTGCCCTGCCGGCACCTACCAGACGTCTTGCCCAGCCGGCTCCAGCCCGGCACCTTGCCCTGCCGGCACCTACCAGACGTCTTTCCCTGCCGGCACCTACCAGACGTCTTTCCCTGCCGGCACCTACCAGACGTCTTTCCCTGCCGGCACCTACCAGACGTCTAGCCCTGCCGGCACCTACCAGACGTCTAGCCCTGCCGGCCCCAGCCCGGCTCCTTGCCCTGCCGGTCCCAACCAGACGTCTTGCCCTGCCGGCCCCAGCCCGGCTCTTTTCCCTGCCGGCCCCAACCAGACGTCTTGCCCTGCCGGCGCACCCCAGACGTCTTGCCCAGCCGGCCCCAGCCCGGCTCCTAGCCCCGCCGGCTCCCCTCTGGTCTTCAGCCCCGCCGGCTCCCCTCGGGTCTTCAGCCCCGCCGGCTCCCCTCGGGTCTTCAGCCCCGCCGGCTCCCCTCGGGTCTTCAGCCCCGCCGGCTCCCCTCGGGTCTTCAGCCCCGCCGGCTCCCCTCGGGTCTTCAGCCCCGCCGGCTCCCCTCGGGTCTTCAGCCCCGCCGGCTCCCCTCGGGTCTTCAGCCCCGCCGGCTCCCCTCGGGTCTTCAGCCCCACCGGCTCCCCTCTGGTCTTCAACCCCGCCGGCTCCCCTCTGGTCTTCAGCCCCGCCGGCTCCCCTCTGGTCTTCAGCCCCGCCGGCTCCCCTCTGGTCTTCAGCCCCGCCGGCTCCCCTCTGGTCTTCAGCCCCGCCGGCTTTAGTTAAGTCGCCTCTAGACCAGCCGGCTCCCCACAGGCCTTCATCCCAGCCAGCTCCCTACAGGCCTCCTGCCTTGCTATCCCAGGCCGATCCTCCTTGGGTTGTCCCTCCTGCTCCACCTTGGAGCATGCCTCTGCCACCCTGGACTGATCCTCCGGCTCCACCCTGGTTCCCTGCCGGGGTCCCTGACCCATTGCACCTGTCCTGGACTGTCCCTCCTGATCCTCCCTGGTTTTGCCCTCCCATCCCTCCCTTATTTGTCTTGTTGGGTCTGACTTGGCTCCCCTCCCTCCCCCCCTTCATGTTGTCTCGCCTGTTCACCTCCCTGTCTTGTGTTTGTTGATGTTGCCTGTTTTGTTGTCTTGTGGTGTTTCTTGTCTGTCTTGTACCTTGTTGGATGTTCCCTTTAGGGACGACAGGTGGCGTCCCTTTTGGGGGGGGGTAGTGTCAGGGTTCTGCCACTCTGATCTTGTAAATTCTTGTTTTGGTGGCAGATCTCTGACACTACTCGTGTCTGGTCCTGTTTCTGTCTCTGTGTGCGCGCGCGCCGTCGTGGGTGTACGCAGAGTGTGCGCGCTCCTGCTTGACGCGGCCGCGTGCGCGCTCTGCGTCCCTCAGACGCGTGCGCTCTTGTATTCGTGTTTGTGTTTTCGTCTGTCAGCAGCATGGTGTTTCATTCCAAGCGTCTCAGTCTTGTTGGTTTCGGTTTTGGTCGGCGCTGGGATGAAGCATGCATGCTGCATATGTGAGCGCATGGTGAGTTTTCATTCATCGTGTGCTCGTGTCTTGCGTCTTTTGTCAAAGCACGTGGCTCGGTGTTTACATTGTGGTCACGTGCTTTTGTCGTGTGCTTCAGTGTTGTGTTATGTGAGCGCATGGCTTGTATTGTCTCTCTGTGTCATGCGCTCTCCCGTCTATTGTCTAGTCCCACCCTCCTTGTTAACCCATTATTAGTTTGTCATGTTCACCTGTGTGTCAATTTACTTTTTGCTTTATAACCCCCTCATGTTTTCAGTCCTTTGCGAGTTCGTCATCATATGTTGTCGATGTTTACCTGTCTTGCTGTGTCCAGTCCTGCCTTGTCGTGCCTGCCCAGTCAAGTTTGTTTGTTTTTTGTTTGATTTATTGTTTGTTGTAGAAGTGTTTTCCCCCTCTGGGTTGTTTATTTTGCCTTTTATTTTATTTTTTAATTAATAAATCCTACTTCACTCTGCGCTTGGGTCCTTGCTCCTTTTTCCCTTTACCGGAACGTGACATAAGCATAATCTTAAGGCCTTTGCCTTTTATATAAGCCATTTCTGATACCAAATGATCAACTAAAAGTCAAGTTATTATTTGGTGTTTCTAAAACATGGATAGACAACAAGACTTTTGTCAGGTAGTGTATACTTCAACTAGATATGAAATCAGAAAAGTGTAATACAGAAGATTAGGTTTTGATTGGCCATCATCTGATGAGGAACATGTGAATGAAACTTGGTGTTACTTATATATTGGATAATTTCACCTTGCAGTGTTGTTAAAATGAAGTCACGAACAGCATTCAACTCCATGCAAGCTGTCCTGAAGGTCTGTTTTTTTTTTTTTTTGTTCTATACAAACACATGTAAAGGTCTTGCACACAATATCAAGTCACTGGGCCATGTGACGTCACATGCTTAAAAGAAAAACCACAAACTGCTCTGCTGAAAGCTCCCTTACGGAAAACACATTCACAGATACTTCACAAAAACTGCAGATATGACTGGAGAATTTTCAATTTAAACAGAAGTGAAGGACAAAGTAAAACAGCTGATATCTACTCTGCTGAAAACTTGATATCTAAAAGTGTGAATTGTAACATTAAGCAACATCAGGACTGACACGGTAAAAAGCAAGCATTATTACACTGATAAACATTTGCTCAAAGCCAGACACGTGCTGAGGGAAGCAGTGGACAGATCTTTGTGAGTCATCCGTTTTCAGCAAAAGTGTGACAAATATGGGCACTTCAACAGGAAGAGCTTCTGACACGCAAACAAACACCTAACACGCATAAGTAAAGCCGCAACACATGCGATCACCTACAGATACATAGTTTAATAAGTTTCAAAACCACAGGACATGAAAGTCTAAATGCCACATTAGATGCATCGGCCAGTAAGATGAAAAGTGTCAGACAGACTGAAGCTTGACAATGGGAAAAACCACAATGAGACATGAGAACCATATTTCCAGTGATCTCTCTCGTTTTGTGTCACAGACGTAAAAATGAATCACCGAACTCTCGCTAATCTTTAAATCTAACATGGCTCAAGGAGTCACTCGCGATAAAAAAATAAATATTCAGAAAAGAACAGATTTCGTATCAGCATGCCAGCTGACAAACCAAAACGATTCCAGCACTGTAAATAAATATCTGTTAATTAAAAGTTTCTGTATCTTGTGTTTGCGTTTATTTCTGCTTGTGAATTGCATTATGGGACCTCGATCTCTGTTCAACTTTTGATGTTGTAAATTAAACACTACAGTTCAATAAAGTGTCTTTTATTGACATTTCAGTAGTTGGAAATAAAATATAAAACCTACTATATTAGGGTTGGGTGATTTGGTCTAAAATCTAAATCTTGATTAATTGAACAGTTTAATGACTAATGATAATTTTATGACTAATGAACTATTATTTCATTTATTTATTTTATGTTTTTGCCCTCATAGTTCACTGACAAGGGTTGGTCGATGGGTGATCACCAGGATGGGGAAGTCCCAGAGTAAAATGAGAAAATATGATACACCAGTGCTTTGGAATATGGAAAATATGTATTTACGCTGTTTTTATTTGTTTTTATTTTATTTATACTTGTCTCTTTTATTCCTGTTTATGTAAAGCACTTTGAATTGCCACTGTGTATGAAATATGCTATATAAATATCTATCTATTAGGGCTGCACGATTCTGACAAAAATGTGATTCACGATTTATTTTGCATAAAATCAAGATCAAGATTTTCTCACAATACTGTAAATATAAATCAAAGGTTAATATGTTAAGCCTATTATTATTGTTAATTACCAAACTTATGGTAAAACAACAACAATAATATTAGGCCCATGTGTAGGTCTACTGTTGCTTAAAATGCTAAATTTTGTCAATTTGTAAATTTTAGTCATTATGGTGGACTTGAACAAACTTTCAATATGTCCTGTTTGTTAATTCACAGTAAAATTATGACATCAGAATAAAACTATTCATAATTTTGAAGTTGATTAATTATGTTTAAGACATGTGCTTGTCATCTGTTATTGACAACATTATTGAACCATTTGTTTTCACTGGTAAAACTAGAATTTTGTCATTATCAGATTCCTTCTTGCATTAAATTCAGCATTATATATAGTCTAGGGTTGTTATACTGACACAGTAAACTTTTATTTTCATGCATAACACTTTGTGTTCGCTATTTAAGAAAAAACAGATCAAATGCTTGTCGTAATCATAACTGTAAAATGCAATATGGTCATTTAAATCATGTGCGCACAGGTTTCACTTTCAGTTCAAAGTGCGACTCATGGCTGCCGTCACTGTGAAAAAAACACAAGCAAATCAAAGCATGGGCCTTTGTTTCTTTCTTTCTCCATCCGCTTGTCACACACATTAAACTATTGTATGTTATGTCATCTACTCCTAGTTTAATATTAACATCTAAAAGGACGTAACACACATCTGTTAGCTGTGCCTTTACTAAATGAGCACTGTGCTACGCCTGACAGATCTCACCAATTTGTTTTTCTCTTCTTGTTCATTGTTTTATAATATTTTTAACACTTTTTAATCATTTTTATTATTAGTTTTTATTTTTATACTTGCCTCTTTTATTGACGTTTATGTAAAGCACTTTGAATCGCCATTTTGTATGAAACGTGCTATATAAACAAACTTGCCTTCCCTTGATCTTGAAGACATGGTCATGTGCTACAGCACAGAACCAGTGTTGATCAACCAACTAACAAATATGAGCAAAATACTAGTGAAAAGTTAGCTAACGCGTTACTATGACCTATTAGATATGCCCATGTCATTTATATTCACACACAATCTCTCTCTTGCGTGTCCTCTCTATGTCTGAAGGCCGATTAAAGGATAACTGAGTCAAAGTGGGGACTAGGAGATCTAACATGTCATAACTGAAGGAAATTTTGACAAATATTGCACTCCAAAGAGTAAAACTAGTTTTCACTTGTCTAAAATTTGGCAATGGGCAGGATAATGTTAATTAATGGCTAGCAGTGTGTTAAAGAAAAACTCCCCCATTTTTTGATAAAGGCTCAATTTACAAGTCTCCTAGAGTTAACCTCTGGACTTGAACCATTTTTTAATCCATTCTGACATTTTCCTTGTTCTGGCGGGGGAGAGGGCAAATTCTTCAGCAGGATTTCCCATACCTCAGCCTACATTCCAAAGCTCCTGCAAGCAAAGAAGGTCAAGCTGCTCCAGGATTGGCCAGCCCAGTCACCAGATATGAACTTTATTGAGCACGTCTGGGGTAAGATGAAGGAGGAGGCATTGAAGATGAATCCAAAGAATCTTGATGAGCTCTGTGAGTCCTGCATAAATGCTTTCTTTGCCATTCCAGATGACTTTATTAATAAGTGATTTGAGTCATTGCAGAGATGTATGGATGCAGTCCTCCAAGCTCATGGGAGTCAGACACAATATTCATTCTGTTTCCACTACACCATGACTTTATATTCTATACTGGACATTATTTCTGTTCAGTGACAAGACTTTTGTCTAAGCAAAGTCAGACCTTACTGTCTTAACGAAATCATTCAAATTTAAGGCATGATCATATTTTATTGTGGTAAAATAAGCGTAATCTAGAGACCTTGGCCTTTCATATAAGCCACTTCTGATATCAAATGATCACCTAGAAGTCAAGTTATTATTTATTGCTCCTAAAACTTAGATAAGCAACTTTTGTCAGGTAGAGTACACACATCTAACAAGTTAAACTCAGCATATAATGTTTGTTTGTGTTTTTTTGTTAAGATACAGAGCAAATTGCCATGAAATAATTTTATTTTTATATTGTAAGCTTCACTATAATTAAATGACTTTTAAAAAATAAGTTTGATCCTGTATCCCTAAGAAGTGTGAACACTTTTATTAAACAGAAAAGCATTAACATACAGACTCTGGACAAAAAAAGCATAACTAACAACAAAAAGGTAAAAGAAAAAAGAGGGAGAATATAAATGACAAACTGTTCAAGTTAGCTCATGCCCACATTTTGCCGATTTAGTAAGATTTCTAGACACAGTTACTTGTGCCAAAGCTACATGTTTGAATGTGCACAAGATGAGAAGCGGATAGTTTGTCTAACACTCTGCCAGTTAACTGAGACTCTAGATGTTTAAAGAGGTTCATCTTCCTCCAGGCATGTCACATTATCTTCAGTAATAAGCTTCCAGATACACACGCACATTCTGTGCACATCTCATTAAAAAAAATGCTCACAGATAGTGTCATTATAAATAGGTTTGGCCCAAACAAATCTTGCCTGATTTGCTCCTAAACTGTAACTGAACAACAACACCTAAGAAAGTAAACTGGTTTATTAACTGTATTACTTCATTTATTGGTGGTGTATGGGTTGAAGTTTCAAGCAGGACATAAGAATGGTATATCAACACAAATATCCTCAATCTCACACACAATAACAACAGCAACAACAACAACAACAACAAAAATCATGGTAATCCGAGAATAATAAAAATAATTGAACCTGTTCAAGGGTTATATACTGAAAAACACAAATTTTCCTCAAAAGAAAAAGATTTTTAAATGGTGCTTCTTAATAATTGTTCTTTGGATCTATATTTATTATGTAATTGACTTGATTGGTTTTGGGATTTGTGTTGTATTTCCTAATATTTATGATGCTCCACAAAAATGTAGAGTATTTTGATGACTATATGGACACGTCATGCTTTATCTAATGATACTGCGATTGACTGGACGGGTCCTGCACAGACTGGGGATACGGAGCAGTGGTAATGTCCTGCCAGGCAGCGTGCTTTGTGCCAGAATGCAGTGGTGCTGTAAGTGAACCACAGGGCGCGCGGCACGGTTTGGGCGGGCAGCGCTGAACTCTCTCCTCTCTATCATTTTCCTCATCCCTCACTTCTCCACTCAAAACAACAACCGCTGACTGGAGCTGCTTCACAGAAGAGTTTGTCCGAAAATGTTTCGTTCCATAATTCTTGACTGAATTCTTGGCCTCTAATTTTAAATCTCCAAAAAAATAAAAAAATAAAAAAGATGGATAAAGGGAAACGGCAGAAAGAGAAAATAGAGTGAAACGATGGTGACAAATAAGGACAGTAACTATGGAAAAACTCCACTGCAGTCCAGTGTCCAGACACAGTAAAACCAAACCTCATCGGGGACTACAGCTCAGGTTATCCTAGGCCAAAAGCGCTTTTATTTTCAGGGCTGGAGATTTAACAAAACTTTATTATAGCCAAAGATCATGTGCGCTTAAATGTTAAAGAACGCCCGATGAACAAGTTTTACCGCTCATTTTAGAGACTCTTTTTTTTTTTAGCAGAATAAAAAATTACAGTTGAATCAGATTTATATAATTATACATTAGATGAATTCCATATGAAGAGTTCAGATGCAAAAACCTTGTTGTCATCTGAAATCCTCTAAAATGAGTATTTCTTCAGGCTCCTATGTTTAGGTTGAGTAATTTTACTTTTATGGCAAAGAATAGGTGACTGACATTGCCTTTAACGTGAAACAACTAAAAGTAAACAGGAGGAAAATGCCAATTTAAGGAGAAAATTTCAGGTTTTTCAATTCAATTCAGGTTTATTTGTAAAGCACCTTTTACAATAATTATTGTTTCAAAGCAGCTTTACAAAAGATGCACATCATTGCATTACAATCAAAATTAAGATAAAGCAGCAACTTCGTTAAACATGTATACATAGACATCACCAACAGTTGAAGTCAGAATTTTAGCCTCTCAAAATTATTAGCCCCCCTGAATGATTAGCCCCCCGGTTTATTTTTTTCTCCCCGATTTCTGTTTAACAGAGAGATTTTTTCCAACACATTTCTAATCATATAATAACTCATCTCTAATAACTGATTTATTTTATTAATGATAACAGTAAATAATATTTTACTAGATATTCTTCAAGACACTTCTATTCAGCTTCAAAGTGCCATTTAAAGGCTTACCCATGTTAACAGGTTAGGGTAATTTCGCAAGTTATTGTATAATGATGGTTTGTTCTGTAGACTGTCGAATAAAAAATATAGCTTAAAGGGGCTAATAATTTTGACCCTAAAATGGTGTTTAAAAATATTAAAACTGCTTTAATTCTAGCCGAAATAAAACAAAGACTTTGTCGAGAATAAAAGTATTATCAGACATACTATGAAAATTTATTTGCTCCGTTAAATACCATTTGGGAAATTAAAAAAATTACAAGGGGGGGCTAATAATTCTGACTTTAACTGCATGTGTCCTAATAGTGTTTAGTGTATAAAACGTTGTGACAACTTTAAAATGCAAAATAGTTAATATAAAAAACAAATCCAGCCTCTATTATTTACCCTTTACTTCTTTCAAAAATTTGAAGAAAGTTGGAAAACAGTACACAGAATATTATGCTATGACTTAAATATTCCAGTTGGTTTTAATTTAATGTAATTACATTAATGCTTAAGTTAAGGTTTAATATCAACTTAATGTTTTTTAGGTTAATGGTTATCATCTTCAAACAATATTCAAATGATTTTCTTTTATGTTCAACAGAACAAAAAAAAAAACAATACTGGTTAGTCGAGGGCGTGTAAAAAAAGAGAGTTTTCATGTTTGAGTTAACAAATAACACAATAATACGATATACAATACGATAACATACAGTTAATCAATTAACACTTTTACTGTAGTATTTTCACAGTACTTTCTTGAAAAAAAGAGACAAATATGTCTAGACTGTAAATAAAACTCGTGTGGTTAAAGTAATTTAACCATTTATCAATGTCATTATTTAATTTTAAAAAGTTGTCATTGTCTTATTACAGATTCAATATGCACAAGCGCAGACCACAGCAGACGAAAAAGCTACTCATTTTTCTTCTCAGCTTGTTTGTTTGTTATTAGCATGTGAAGGTGATAAACGTACCTCGTCAGGCGCTGTGGTTGAGGGCGCTCCCCAAACTTCCTGTAAAGAGACAAAAACACTTTAGCAGAAAAATCGACCACAACATAAACAAAAAACATCATTTAATGCACACAAATATTTGAGCTCACACCTGTGTACGATACTGTACGGCAAAACACAAGGCTGTTTCCCATCATTCACACACTCAAATGTCCCACAACGGACAAACACACACACCTGTCCGCTATTTAAGATTAGCAGGCCTGCAGCTGTTATAGTGACCTTGTGAAACAAGTCACATGACCGTGTGTACAAACATACACAGATGTTCCAAGCAAACCACTTTCCCATTCAGATTGCAGGCTAATTACCAAAGTTAGCACAGTTAGCGATACCTGCTGCCAAACATGCACCGCTGTTCTCTTTGACAGGGATTTACAGCAGTGTTCTGGGTTAAACGCGAGTTGACCATTGCTACAGATGCTGTTGATTAGCACAGGACCTGCTTGGTGAAAACATGCATAAATCACCTCCAGCGTAATGCACGTTTAATGGAAGGCTAAGAGAAAAAGATTAATGTAAAAATATACACAATTTTGCAATTAGTCTTGAAGCAACACATCGCTAACATTTTGCAACAAGGACTCCTAATTAGTAATATTAACAATGAGAAACATCCTCGTGACTGCATTCATTAATCATAGCTAACGCTAGTTTATGATGTATTACAAACTGCACTCACACATATCTTGTTATGTTTAATGATATCAAATGAACAACTGCTTATTAATCTAAATTTATATAACATCAATAACCGATGTTGCAACTATTGTAAAGCTATTGAACTTGCACAATGCTGAGACATCAGAGAAGACAAGGTATTTTATAATTCCGATAAACTGAAAAAAACTGTTCATTGGATTTACTTAATTTTTTAAGGTAATTGGTTGAAAACAATTTATACCGTCTGAATTTAAACTAACAAATTAAGTTGGACATTACAAAATTTCATTTGTTTGTTTAAGTTCAGCCCATATACAGCTGAAGTCACAATTATTAGCCCCCCTTTGAATTTTCTTTTCTTTTTTAAATATTTCCCAAATGATGTTTAACAGAGCAGGGAAATTTTCACAGCATGTCTGATAATGTTTTGTCTTCTGGAAAAAGTCTTATTTGTTTTATTTCAGCTAGAATTTAATTTTTTAAACACCATTTTAAAGGACAAAATTATTAGCCCCTTTAAGCTATATTTTTTCCAATGGTCTACAGTACAAACCATCCTTGTACAAAAACTTGCCTAATTACCCTAACCTTCTTAGTTAACCTAATTCACCCAGTTAAGCCTTTAAATGTCACTTTAAGTTGTTACAGTAGAAGTGTCTTGAAAAATATCTAGTCAAATATTATTTACTGTCATCATGGCAAAGATAAAATAAATCAGTAGAAATTAGTTATTAAACTATTATGTTTAGAAATGTCTTAAAGAAATCTTCTCTCCGTTAAACAGAAATTGGGGGAAAAATAAACAGGGGGACTAATAACTCAGGGGGGGGCAATAATTCTGACTTCAACTGTACATTGTTTTTAATCAGTTACCTTAAAGAAATTTAGTTAACCCTGCTGAAAAAAAGCAGCATATGCTGGTAAGGTATGCTTTGATGCTGGTCTTGTTGGTTGCTGGTCTCGATGCTGGTCCTGCTGGTTTTACTGTTGGTTTTTCTGGTGTCTATGCTGGTTCAGCTGGTTTCAATGCTGGTTTTGCTGGTGTCTATGCTGGTCCTGCAGGTTTCGATGCTGTTTTTGCTGGTCTTGATGCTGGTCCTGCTGGTCTAGCTGGTCTCGATGCTGGTCCTGCTGGTTTTGCTGGTCTTGATGCTGGTCCTGCTGGTTTTGCTGGTCTCAGTGTTGGTCTTGCTGGCCTCAATGCTGGTCAGGACAAGCACTGAGACCAGCAAGACCAGAATTGAAATCAGCAAGACCAGCATTGGAACCAACAAGACAGCATCGAGACCAGCAAGACCAGTATGAAGCCAGCAAGATCAGCATTGGAACCAACAAGACCAGCATCGAGACCAGCAAGACCAGTATGAAACCAGCAAGACCAGCATTTTAACTAACAAGACCAGCATTTTAACCAACAAGACCAGCATTGGAACCAACAAGACAGCATTGAGACCAGCAAAACCAGCATAAAACCAGCAAGACCAGCATTGAAACCAGCAAGACTAGCATTGGAACCAACAAGATCAGCATACCAGCATCAAAACATATCTTAACAGCATATGCACTGAATCCAATGAATTATTATTTTTAGTGTATTGGGTATATTCATGAAATGGACTTTACTATGTGGTTTAATTAGTAGATGTTAGTTATGAAATAAAAAGACAAGTAAAACACTAAATTAAAAGCCAATTTTTTATAAGACTGGAAGCATTTCTTGTAAGCATACACTGTAAAAAAAATGCTGGGTTCCACACAATCCCTTATGTTGTCCAAACACAAATGGATTATAATAACTTAATAGTTTAGTTTTTTTTTTAATAATAGTTTGTTGGATTAAAAATAAAATGATAAAAAAAATGTGTTTTAAGTGATTTTAAATAAGTAGTTTGAAAAAGCAGCAAAAGTCATTTGAGCGTACATATTTTTTAACAGTTTAAAAAATTGTTTCAGGCCAAATGATAAAAAAGTCAATATAAAAATTAATAAAAAAACAAGCTTCACAGAAGGAATTCTTCTTACAACACAAATAATGTTTAAGTGATGCTTTCAAAAACCAAATTTTTAAAGCAGCACAGTACATGATATTTCACATCAGGCAGATGAAGGTTTGTTTCTTCTAAATGTCATAGTGAATTGTAGAGTACAGTAATGTGGGACAGTTATTGGATGGTTTCAGTTATGCTTGTGACCTCAGATGGCAAATAATGAAAAATGTTGCCTCATTTCAGAACAACCTGAAGGCCTGTCATGACCCCGTCTGTTTGAAGCCGTTTCTATAGTGACCACACAACTGTTATTACTTGAAATCTAAGCGAATGACGATCATGCCCAAGACAACACTGGAGCCGTTCCAATTAGTTAAGGCAATCCTAGAATCCACAGTGTAAAAATATGCCTCTAATCAAAATCAGAAAAATAAATATGTGTAATATTGCATCTAACTATTTCAATCAGTGTTTCCCTAATGGGGATTTCTGATGAAAAAGCTAATCAATTATACTGGGTGCGTATTTAAATAAATAAACCTTGCTGGACATTAAATCACAATTTAAATAGCATCTATTATCATTAGGAAACAAAACTTTTACTTTTTATTTGATTGTAGTATTTAAAGTGTTATCAAATAATAGATTTTTCATTTTTTGGAGGGGAATTAGTTTTAATTTGCATAGATAAAAATAATTTTGATGAAAAATTTTCCTCATTTTATAATTAGAGTTAAAAGATGCTGATCAGAATTTACTGTGATTTAGATCAGTGTCAATAATGATTTCCAGGAAGGTGAAAATGTCTATTATAATTAAATTAATATAATTTAAATTATATAATTTATTAAAATACTAACAAATTCAATTATTAAATGTTGTTAATAATAATAATAATATTAATAATAATATATTTATTTATATTTAATCTTATTTTTAATCACAAATGTGTATACGCACACTTGATTTGCTCAATTACAGTCAAACAGGTAGGAAAATTGTCAGTATTTAAATAAAAAATAAATAAATATTCATTCATTAATTTATTTTATTTTCGGCTAAGTCCCTTTATTAATCTGGGGTTGCCACAGCAGAATGAACCGAAAACTTATCCAGCATTTGTTTTACACAGCAGATACCCAACAGCCACAACCCATCTCTGGGAATAAATAAATGTATTAATTCATAAATAAAACCTCAGTTTAGAATCTGTTGGTTTGTGTTTTTAATGCATTTATTTAATAATAATAACTTATAAAAATTAATATTGACACAAAATTATCAAAAAAAAAAATTGAAATTTATACATAATTATGGTAATTAAAGCTAAATATATGTTTCAGGAAGCAGAAACTGGAAGTTTAGTGGGAGTCTTTAAATTAGTTTTTAAGACAAAATATAAATACAAACATTATACTCAGATATAGTTTGAGTTAGTATTACAAATTGTTTTATTAATTAAACATAATTTTTGCGAAAATTATTTAAGGTTTACCTTAGAGATAAAAAAATATGCCTACAATTTTAGAATTACCCATTTGTCCCCCCAAAAAATTCAATAAAGCAATAAAGATTTCACAGCATTTAAATATTTTTTTCTTCTGCAGAAAGTATTATTTGCTTTATTTTGGCTAGTATAAAATCAGTTTTTACTTAAAAAAATAATAAAAATATTGCGGTCAGTATTATTAGCCTTCTTATGCAACAAACTACTTTACAATGACTTGCCTACTGGCATCATGGTAAAGTTAAAGAAAACAGTTATTAGAAATGAAGTTTTAAAACTTTTTTGTTTAGACGTGTTAAAAAAATGTTCTTTCCATTTAAACAGAAATTGGGGGAAAAAAAATTAAATGGCTAATAATTTAGGAGGGCTAATAATTCTGACTTGAACTGTATGATATTTGATAAGCCGGTTAGCTAACTTCCTTTGACAGTGAGGCAGCACATGATGTAGGTTTGCCAGCAGGCCCGCATAATATTTCACTTAGCAAATGACAACTTGAGTATTTCTGGAGTGAAATATCTGTCATTATTGCAGAATTTGCGTCACTTGTGTGTTTTAGTGAAGCCGACCCAGGGCTACAGGAGCTCTGCTGTGGATTGTGTCCCTGGTGTAGTCTTTACGGTACAGCAGATCCCCAGGGGTCCGCGCTAAACTGACAGCAGCCTTGAGGCCAGAGCGGAGTGTGGAGGGGTTTAAAATAGAAGAAGAGAGAAAAATCAATGACTGGAGCTTCCTGATCCAGCATCACTGAACCTGAGGGAGTTACAGGAAGATCTCAAATCAAGTCACGCTGCCACTGCCACGAGACCAGAAAAGACCACCGCAGATTCAGAGACAAGACA